AAACACATCAAGAAGAGGAGACAGATTTTATGATTAGTCCAAAGAGATTTTAAGAATGAAATATTGAAGACAAGCACAATTCATTTTAACAGCCAGAAAAAACATACAATTACTCCCAGCCATTACATTAGGTCAGAGATATTGCTCACTCTGCTGGAAGATCCTATTAGTAAATAGCCAAGAGGTCATATATGATTTGTCTTGGCTGACATCAACAGTAACAGCTTCAGTGTAAGGGATTTTAGAAGGACAAACCAGCCTGAAGTGGTGATGCACTCTTTTCCCAACTAAGTAAGCATGAACAGCTCAGTGCTGCAAGGTGGCAAATGCTGGCCTGCATCCAGCAAAGCAGAAAAACAGGTGCATAATCACTTTGAAAAAATTTAAATTTGCAATTCCTCTCTCTTTCCTGAAGAGTTGCTATTTTTGGGTTTTTTTTTTTTACATTTCTATACCCCTGATATCCAAAATGCTGGAAAAGACTGACTTTTCATTTAAAACCAAACTAACGAACAAAAAAGGTTAAGAATGCCATACAGCTTGGAAGAGCCAGCAAGAGGTCTCAATACATTCTGGAAGAGTTAGAGCAGTTTCCTACTTCATTTCTCATAGCCCTTCTGACCTGAAGCACAGAACTGCATTGCACTGCAGTGCCCTTTAGGTGCACTGCCAATGTGCATTAGGCCAGGGAACGCACAACAGGGAATGGTGGAAGAGAATCATTCAGCCAAAATTCAGCATTGGTGGCTTCAGAGAAAAACACATTTTCAAAGAAACACACGAACTTGTGTTAATGGAGCCCTTTTATGTTCAAGAGACACCCTTTCACCAGTGACACTGGTTTCCACCTGTTGATCAACTTCCACTCCTGGCAAGATGCCACTCCTGAACCACCACCTCCATGAGTTACAGCTTCCTTGCTTCCTCCACAGTAGTCAGCTTACCTTCTGAAGGATTTTCCACACTTTCTCATAAAAGCCAACAGGAACTCTGTTAATAGCACCATCAAGCCTCCTTCTGCGCAGCCACTGCCCTTTTCTGTCACCCCAGCTCATAGGATCATGAGGTGCGATTGATTCTTGATCCCCATCAAGAGAGGCAACAAGCTTCAATTCTCAAGTACTTCCATCATTTCTCAACAAAACAGGCAAGCACTTCAACGTGGCATTACCCAGTGAACTTCACTGCTTGGTTTAATGCAACACCTGACTATTTTAACAAGCATGAGTTGCTTCCAGGGCAGTGTCACTGGTGTGCAGGGTTGGGGGATCTGCAGGTAGGTCCGATTCACTTGGACATGGGGCTCAGTGTTGTGAAAGTATCAAAGATTCTTAAGTCCAGAAAGAGAGGCTCTCATTCCATTAAAGTAAGTAGATTAAAAATTGACCTAATGAAGCCATGAAATCATCATGCCTGCCTCTGTAAGTGTTAGTCTTGTTTCCTTTATTACCCTTGTTGCTCTATTATTTTACTCTACCAGGTTTGGACACTAAATTAGGCAGCAAATCATTTTCAAAGTTGAAATGCCTGTTGTGATTTACACACACACAGTTTGCCCATTCCTTGCACTCCCAGAGACTGTGTTCTCCTTCCTTTTTGATACCTGTTATTTTCACCCCAGAAAGGACTTGGCTGAAAGTGCTATCTTAGATCCCCTTATCTCCAAGTAAGAAGCCACCTGAGCAATGTAATGGGAAGGAGGAAAACGACTGCAAACTGCATGTTTGGAAAGCGCAGGCTCATAGACTCTATGTAGCCAAACTCTGCAAAAAAAAACCCCAGCAAACAGTCCACTTCCACTGCTACTAGTGCCCATGAGACACACGAGGTGTTCCTTTGATGTTCCCATGTTTGCTTTTCCTTTCCACTGCAAACTGACCATGACAGACAGAACTTCCTGCTC